GCTAATGTACTACCAGTGTGATGGCTATATGATGATAGACAGATGAGGGAGCAGTGAACTGAGCCACTCTTTCTGGAAGAAACAAGGCAACATGATCGCAGCCTCATGAGGCTGCCACTAGATTACAGGAGCAAAACAATGTCATTGTCGCAGTAAAGGACAATTCTCTGTGTTTGCTCTGATAGGCTGGCATCTGTGCAACCCATCTCAAAATGGAGTAAAGTTAATTTATTACAAATTAAAGAGGAAGGATTAAGAATGAGTCCTCTGCTTTACCACACTTGAGACTGAAATCAGACCTGACAGGAGAAATATGCTCATAGAAGAACTAAGTGCAGGCTTTGCGAGGAGGCAGTGGTAGTCTCCATGAGCTTGGCTCACAGGCTATTCCCTCGCTCAGAGTTGAAACCACTTGGCACAGCAATGAGTGGTGCATCATACCCCAGGCCACTGTTTTGACCCACCGTCCTAGACAAAGGGAAAGAGAGCTGTGATGGTCCGTCATGAGGAGTGTTCCAGAAATGTGGTGGTATCTGGAGTAATATAAGCTATGTGATTGAGCATTAAGCATTTAAAATTTTTGTAGAAATAAGCTGGTATGGACATTCATAGTACATTAATGAACTTAAGGGGTCTATAATTTGCAAAAAATAAAGAATTAAGTTGAAAAAATACAGTAAGTTAGACAATCCAGTTGGAACTATATTTTACTGGTCAATCAAAAGCAGATTTAAACAGTTTGTGGTAGCAACGTATCTTCTTTTGGGAACACTTTTAGTATGATTAGCCATCCTGATGATATCAAAAATTTTAGAAATGTATTAAATTCCAAATTACCAGTCCTTTAATTTGGTATTCAGGGAAATAAACACTCCCTATCCCTCAGGGCATTACCCATCTGACCTCTGCACCATTAACACCCATGCCAATGTTGTGATGAGGGCCCCTGGATTCCCGCCCTGCTGGGGAAGGGAAGCAGGGTCTATGGGAGCAGGTCTGCCTGACTTCAGTCAGAGAGAATAAGAGGCTCACCAAGCAGGCAATGGAGGAAAAGGCATATCATGTGGGAGACATGATAGCTATAAAGGCCTTGGGCGAATAAAAGCCATAAGTGAGACTATGGGGCCATGGCAATGAAGTGCAATGTGGGATCCTCGACTGGACTCCCCAAGAGAAAAATGACATTAGTGGGAAAACTCCTGAAATTCACCTAAGTTTTGTGTTAACAGTACTGCACATGGGTTAATTTAGTTTCAATAAATATGCTACGGTTGTGTAAGATGTTAACATAAGGAGAAGCTAGGGGAGGGGTATATGGGAATGTTCTATCCTATTTTTTGCAATTCTTCTGCAAGTCTAAAATATTTTTAAAACCTTAAATATTAAAATATTAAAAAAAACCTTTCTTCTTCATCTTCTCCCTTTTTTTAAAATTTTTTTTAAGAAAGCACAGGTATATTCAGACAACTACATGTAGCTTAGTAAGGCTGGAGCATGGGATCTTTCAGTACCAAAAAAGCCTTGGAACTGCCCTAAGCCTCTCAATTAGGAAAAACCCAAGAGAAAAGCTCAGTTTGGGACCTGCTGAGTTTGAAGTGTCCCTGGAGAAGGCAGCTATAGATGGTCAGTGGGCTGGTAAAAGGCGTGGGCTGGAAATCCAGTGCGGCCTTCTGCAGCAGAGATGTGGTGATGAGCTAACCCGCGGAAGTGGCTGAGATGGTTTTAGACTGGAGGAGTCACAAATGGTGGCCAAGGATGAAACCCATGAAAATACCCTTGTCATGTAAGGTGAGGATAACGACAGAAGGGTCCTCAAAGGAGAAGGAGGATGAAACTCAGGAGAACACTGTTGAATAGAGGCAAGAAAGTGGGATTTTCAGGAAGGGAAATCAATGGTGCAACACGCTACAAGGAAATAAGGAAACATTCTGAGAGCGGCCAGTGGCTTTAGCCACTTTGGGAAAACTGAAGATGTCCTGGTATAATTTGTGAGAATGAAGGTGCTTCCTGGATGTCACATTAATAGCCTTCAGCACTAAGACCACGCCCGCAGATTATCTTAGCCTTTTTTTCTTTTCTCTGTTCATTGTGGCACATTTCTGCATTAAATATATTGACTTCTAATTTTTAAAATTTTATAGGTGTTTCATTCTTATTTTTTTTAAGGATTTTATCTCTTTATTAATGAGAGACACACCGAGAGAGGCAGAGACACAGGCAGATGGAGAAGCAGGCTCCTCGAGGGGAGCCCGATGTGGGACTCGATCCCGGGAAGCTGAAGGCAGACGCTCAACTGCTGAGCCTACCCAGGCACCCCAGGTGTTTCCTTTTTAATTTCTGTCACAGTGAGTAATAAACCAAAGGCAATGTGACCCAGGTTGGGCACTCGTGGCCTCCAGGGAAAAGTTCACCTGAGCCGGAGGAGCCAGTGGAATGCAAGGAAGCAGCCACAGTGGGGGAAGACCGGCTTTTCACGTAGACGGACGGTGCTGGGAAAGGAAGAACCAGTGTGCGGCCCTTTAAAAAGGTTTTTGTGGTTTTTGTTTTTCAGAAAAAGGCTCAAGCAGGTTGACGATCTGAGAAAACATGGCCAGAAGAAAGGAAACAGACAGAGTTGCAGGAGGAAGAGCGGACAATGGGAAGAGCGAGGTCTCCAGGGAGTCAGGAGGGAGGGAGATCCTGAAGGAAGCAGGTGGAAGAATGAGGAGGGAAGGAGTCTGGTCCCATCGCCTGAGACAGGAAGCAGGAAGGAAGGGAAGGAGGCCGGGAGGTTCGCAGGTGGCAAAGGGGAGACCATGGGAAGCTCAGAGATTCCTGTCTGGTGGCTTCTGTTTTCTCTGCTAAGTAGGGAGGAAGTGGTGAGGGGAAGGCCCAATGGTAAAATCTGGTCAGTGACCCCTGGGGGGCTGCGGGCGAACTGGGGACAGCCACCCTTCGCAAGCTGTGTGGCAACGTGTGAGTCTGTCATGTGTCTCTCAGCCTTGATTTAGATGGTTTTATCAATAAAGAGGTCTGAAATTCTATGTAGTCAAACTTGCACGTTTTTTTAAGTATCTGATTTCTAACACGTGAGCCAGTCTTAGAAAGACCCTCCTTACCTCGATAGTATAAAAATGTTGTCATATTTTTATAAGGCTCTTACAAGTTGTTTTTTTTTTTTTTTTAACCTTTAATCTGGAACATGTTTTGGTCTAAGAAGCAAGATAGGAATCCAGTTCTTCCTTTTCCCCCAACACCCATCATGGTCACCTCAACACTACTTATTAAACAGGCTATTTTTTTTAAATTTATTCAATGCTTTGAAATCTACTCTGCCTCCATTTTTTTTTCTTTTCTACTTCTTCTTTTTTTTTTTTTTTTTAAATAGTAAATTCAAGGCTGCAATTATCCGCAGGCCATGTGCCTTCCTGCCATGGCAAAAGAAGGATAATAAGCATTATCCTCATAATATGGTTTTATAATCATTACACTACAAGAGTCCTCAGGCTGAAACTGAACTTGTTGGCTCAGTACTATGAAAAAGAAAACCATGGCATCAATGAGACTAAAAACCAAAGTTGTTATACTTGGCGAGTATCCCACACCTCTTTAAATCAGCAATACCGAAAAACCCCAATCATAAGACAACATAGCTACTTAGGTTTCTTCTGTGGAGCTAACACTTCCTGATGGGTCTCCTCAAAGTAAGTCTGCCCAAAATTAGACAATCTATAGGCATCATCCTGAGCCTCCCTTGTGGTCGAGAAAGATTACTGGGAACACCTGCCTTTTCAATTGCTCAAGCTCAAATAAATAAATTTTCCTATGCTTTATGGATCAGAATTCTGAATACTCCATGAAAACTTGTACAAAGGCCTGAGCAGATCCACAGCTCTGCTTCTGAGAAAATTTTTGCCTTTGCCAACAGACACAGACAGGCCTCTGATATCAGAGTAGAATGGTTCTCTTTCTGGGAATCGATATCAGTTGAACTCCTAAATGCTTCTGTAGAAAAGCAAGCCCTGAGACCTGTCCTCCTGGCATTTTAAGTAGATGGATGTCTCTAAACACTAGCTATGAATCATGGTATTTTTTAATATTTAGAGTCAACCTGGATTTGACTGGACACTTAGCACCTGCCCTGAAACACTGTCTAACCCACAGGTGAGAAAGCCCACACCTGATGTGCCATATAAAAGTGATTCATATTATTAGGAAACGGGAGCTCAGTTTTAATTATCTGAGCCTTGCCTTTTCCGAGTCAAGATTTAATGCTACACAGAGGTAATAGCACAAACACTCATACAAAGTACCATATGTCCTTCGGGAAATTGTAGCTAAAGACACTGCCTGTCATATCTCACGTAGGGCACCTCTCACCCAACGGTAAGATAAACTGATCCTCTCAGATGTCTAGCACATTGAGCTCCTCCGTTTGCTTTACTGATCACTTTAAGTTGTTTTTTCTTTGTATTTGAACACTGTAAGCATATTTAAGTCCTTTTTGAAGTAGAGAGAATATAAGTGCCAGAAATGGAGGGACTCTACCTGTTTTGTTCACTACATTTCCAGTGCCTGACTTGTAGTGTGTGGTCGGTAAATATGTTGAACAAATAACTAGAAAATGAATGATTAAACGTGCACATAGCAGCAGAAATTACCAGGTGTGTTGTGCATCGACCCTCATTTTATTAGCAATAATCCAAAGGTAAGGAAAGTTTTTGTTTGTATCTTCTTCATTCATTCCATAAATCTCTGCTGCACATGTACCATGTGCCAGAACCCCTGACACAGCTGTCACACTTAAGGGACACATTCATCTATTGGAATAAGCCAAGGGAACATTAGATACAGAATACAGAGACAATCCTTTCAAAAAGACATAGTCCTTGCCAGCAATCTCCTAAAAAGAGTGTTCTTTTCAGTCATTTTTTTCTCTTTTCCAGAGTGATAATAAGATAACGAGTTAATAATTCAGTCCTGTTTATCACAGCCTGTTGCCAACATCTGACTGATGTTACCTTATGCACGATGAGCTCATGAGTGCCATCTGGAAGAGTCCTACCATCTTCCTGCATCAGGGGGACAAAGGAGAAACCAAACAGTTTCTTCTCTCCTTTCTCCTTTGCTGTGAAAAAAGAGAAAAAGAATTACTTGCTTTTCAAAATGCTTGTCTACTACCCGTGTTCAGATACACAGACTGCCAGCAAGCACGTTCATCAAGAAATACAACCCACGCTCACCAGCTCCCTCTCTATACAACGGAGAGCAGCCTTTATGATGAGACCTCTATCTACAGTAGCCACGCTCCGACCCATATTCCTGCCCCGTAGGACTGCAAAGTACCCTGCTTGACGAATCTTCTTCATAGGACTATCTCAGAATATGTTTTAGAAAAACTTCTGGATTGCCTACTTTTTCTCTTTGCATCCTACCCTCCACCCCCGGCTGTAAGCACCATTGAGGGCAGGATTCTTCTATTTTATTTTATTCTAACTTTGGTATCTCAAAGAGTGCCAAGCACATAGTAGGTTCTCAATAAGTATATGTTAAATCAATGAACAAATGAATGAACGAACATGAAATTCAATGTTTTGCTTGCTCCTTGTGCAAAGGCAGTTTCCAGGCTCTGCCTTGCTCTGTAAAAGAACTTTCCCTAGGTCCATGTGTGTAAAGACAGCGCCATGGAAGCCACTTCCTTGAGCTCTTAGGCATGTGGGTAAACGACATGAATTGCTATCTATAATTTGAGAATTGCTTATTAGAGAGAGTAGTACTCTGAACTGGAAACGGAGCAATGAGGTTTTCAGATGCCTAATGAAGAATTACAATGGCTAGAAAGGTCAAGGATCATTTGCAGAGAAGGAAATTGAGATCACATGATATTAGGTAACCTGCTCTAGGTCTCCAGTACCATTCTGGTTATTTCCACCAACCTTCCTTTCCTCCAAAAATGGAGAAAGCATTAAAAGAAACTGATTGGTTCAACTGGACTGTCTCTTTATATTTAGATATGTGGGAGGAGTTCCAAGCCTGCAGGCCGGACAGTTATTATTTCCCACGTAGGTGTGGAAGTGGAGCATTACACTTGATAGAAGAGTTCAGCTTTGGGATGCAGTAAGGCCTGAGCTAGAGGTGTCAGACATGGTGACCTTGAAGATCAGACAAGAGACTTGAGCAACACATCTCCCTCACGATTGCTTCTGGCATTTAACCACAGAAAAATGGGCTCCACATACAGAAGAGAAATTTTGGCTAGCTGGTTTTGGCCCCTAGCATGAAGACATCCCTGAAAATGTGATTCTAGGAAATTATTTTCTTCTGAAGTCATTAATTTCAACCCCAGAGAGAAACTGGGAAAATATCCATGTTCTTTCAAGTTAAGCGAAAATCACAGTGAAGAGCTCTAGGATGTGATTTCTACATCAATGGAGTGCTAGCTATGGAACTTCTGATTTAGGGAAGAACACTTATTTAGAAGTAACTTCCTAAGTTTATCTGACTATCTTTGTGGTGTAGATTTGGTATTTAATTTGGAAGGGGAACAAGATTCCGTGAATGAATAACATTAGCAAAGGTAAAAAATAAAGCAATCGTTTCCCCAAATTTGTCTTTTGTTATAAAAGAAGAATAAACACCAAACAAAGTTTAAAGGGCACGGCCTTTTGTCCTGAGCTACTAGATCAGAATTAACAAGTTGAATGGACTATTATGCCTAATATGATCCCCTTTTACTAACAAAGACCCTACGTTCATGGATTCCACCTCTTGACTTTTCAATTCGTTCTTTCTAATATCTCAACTCCAACAACTTTGCCCTGGGACCTCAGAATTTACTGATGCCCTTCTCCGTGCCCCTCTGCTCTCACTTCCCATGTCTACTAGGCTCCATCATTCTAATCACTTTGAATCCCCTCAGCCCACTGCTATCCTCTACACTTCCTGCTACACTGCTGCGCTGGGCTGAAACCCAACTTGCACCTTAGTCTACATCTATGCCAGACTAATCTCACTTTAATTAACTCACATTAACCACAGATGGGCCCTGAGCTGGGCAAACCTTCCACATTTTCCTGACCAGCTCACCTTTTCACTTTTCTAGACAGGGGTTTCATGCTTCTCAGCCTCTAATACCTCAACACTTTCCTCACTTTCAGCAGATGCAGAGAGGAGTCCTCCACGCTCTGCCCATTAATGCTCCTGCATCGGCCGTCCTGCACTATTCCCGAATTCTCCACTTAACCGGGAGCACTGGCCCCATGCTTCCCTTCCTCAAGGGCACTGCTCCTACACTTGTCACCTCTTTCATCTACATCATCAGTTCTTCCTCTCTTCTGAATCATCTGCACCAAACATGTTTTAGAACTCCACCTGAGAAAAGAAAAAAATACCCTCCCATGACCTACCATTCCATTATAGTTACTATCCCATTTCTCTGCTCTCTCATATTCTTTATAGCAAATTTTCTGGAAATCTTTGTCTGTATTTACTGCCTGCCCTTCCTTTCTCCTCCACCTCACTCTTGGACTCACTTGCACCAGACTTTCATCACCACAAATCCACTACAACTACTTGTCAGGTTCATTGACTTCCATGATGCCAAACTGGGTGATCATCCCTCTGTCCTCCACTTATTTATCACTGGCACCTGACATATCAGATCAATCCCTTCTTGAAAATCTTTCTTCACTTAATCCCCTGGATTCTATTACTGGATACTCCTTCCACCTCACTGGCAATTCCTTCTTAATTTCCTAAATGGCTTCTTCTCATTCCCCCAAGACCTCAATGTGAAAGTACCCCAGAGATCCATTCTTCAGCTTCCCTTTGCTATCTAAACTTACTGTTTAGGAATCACATCCAGCATCATGGTTTTGAAAATCACGGCTTCCCTGTAGCGGCTCACAAGAGTGGACAGTGTGCATCTGTCCCCAACTCCAATTTGAGTGATGGTCATGTTTGTAGCTTGAATTTGCCCATGACAGGAGTATTCACTGATGGAATTCAGGGCCCCCTTCTGCCCCAGCCCACGTGCTGGTTATTAAACGTTTACAGCACACCACTGTTTGTCCTCCTTCTAAAGCTTAAGTCTCTAGCTTGAATCTCATTCAACTGTCTATTTGACATCTTGAATATCTAAAAGAGCTCTCAGATTTCACATGCAATGCTTGGTTTTTGCTCTCTAAAAACACTTTTTTTTTTAAGATTTTATTTATTTATTCATGAGAGACAGAGACAGAGGGGGGTGGGGGTGGGGGCAGAGACACACAGGCAGAGGGAGAAGCAGGCTCCATGCAGGGAACCTGACATGGAACTCTATCCTGGGTCTCCAGGATCAGGCCCTGGCCTGAAGGTGGCACTAAACTGCAGAGCCACCTGGGTTGCCCCTAAAAACACTTTTCTTGTTGCCCTTCTCCACTTCATTAAATGATCACTTCATTCTCAGGCCAGAATCTTGGGGGTCATCCTTGACTTTTCTCCTTCCTTCATAGCTAGTTTCTCAATAAATCTGTGAAAAAGAATTGATCTCCTAGCATTCTAATGCAAATAATTTTAACGTCTTACTTGGAGGACTGCAAAAGCCTCTTGAATGGACTTTTTGTTCACACCTACAACCTATCATACAAAAGCACCATGCTTATCTTCAGTCTAAATTCTCCAAAGGTGCTCCTCACACCAAACAAAGCCTCAAGTCTTCCCCCCGACTTACAAGACAATATGGGATCTGGCTCCCCTGCTACCTCAGTGTCATCTCCAAACTCCCCCCAGCTGCTCACTCTGGCCTCCTTGATATTCCTTGAAAATACCAAGCATGTTTCAACCTTAACTGTTTTGTATTTACTGTTCTCTCTGCCTGTAATATTCTTTCCCATGATATCCAAAGGCTCATGGCTTTATTTCTTTTAGCTTATTGTTGATACATCTCCTTATCAGAGAGCTTCTTTCTGACCATTCTTTGTAAAAGAGCAACACAGCAGCATCACTTTTCAGCACTTTACCCCAATTTAATCTTCTATACTTCACTTAACAGGACCTGATGTAGTATGTGTTTATTTGCTCAGATATGGTCTGTCTTCCCTTTAGAACGAAAGCTTTATGAGGAGGTATTCTCTTATGTTCACTCATGTATCTCCAATGCCCAGGAAAGTGCTTGACACATAGCAGGTGTTCGGTGAACATGTGTTTCACGGATAAAAGATACTTCTTGAATAAATAGATATACAGAGAAATATTTGGGAGCTTTGTGATAAAGTAATCATACTGATTATCCAGTTTATGGGATTATGGGGATTTCTTTTCTTCATGCTTGTGCTGTTTCTTCTGAATTTTAACATCGAATATTCAAAAAAATCGAATATTCAAAAAACAAACAATGTGAACAATGTTTGAAATACAAGGACAAGAGGACAGAAATCTAATAGGTTTTACTGAAAATAGCCTTTATTCCATTTTCCAAGTTCTGAGTTAAAATAAATTTCTCCAAATGCTCTTTCTCTCTTTTCTCTCATTTCATCTTTACTTTTCTCCTATCTTTTTCTTACCTTAAAGCTTAAAGCTCATATTTGGCTCGACTGAGAATTTATAACAAAGACTGGGGAAGGAATGTTCTGACACCATTCCAAGGGCTTTATGTTTTCCCACTCTAAGTCCTTTCCATGACACTCCTCTGGGAATTTGGAAGAATGGTAGGACCTTGCTATTCATCTCCCTATATTGTGAAACATCCACGAAAGCATAATTACTCGGGCTCCCTGAGCCAATTCCAAAACATGCCATCATCCCTGCAACAGGCAGTCATCCCCTCTCTGAATCCTGTGAGAATTGCATAGCGCTCAGGTGAGGTCACCGCATATCTATTGGCAATGCCCCCATTCTTTCCAGACTACAGAGGAGTCTGCTGCTTCTCCAGTGATGTGATTCTTCGGTACCTCTCGTTTGTTCCTGAAGCAAGATTCACCAGAACCCTCTCTAGTAACAGTGTACACTCTGGTAGTGTCCAAGATACACGTCAGGGACACAGGGATACCAGAAGATGGGAGTGGGGGCTGGAGAGGGTGGTAGAGAGAGCAAAAGAATTAAAATAGAGATGTCAAGAGATGACAATTTTAGGGACAGTAATGCTCATATGGGCAAATCCTATATCATCTCTACATCTTGGGTTTTTTTAGATCTGTGAAATGAAACAATGATTTCACGTCATATTTGAGGCATACTGGCATTACCTGTCATTTAAATCCTGAGATTGCATTGTGATATGGAGATAAGCCACTCAGATATAAATCTGAGCCCATAAATCCTAGGAACTTCACAGGCCCAGAAAAGTCCTCCTGGGTTCCCCTAAGCTCTCTGAGAGCTGGGTGAGCTCTTGGCTGGAGAGCAGCGGATAGGTCAGGACTGCCTTAGACCCCCTGAGCCAGACAAGTTTTTAATGCTGTGTCTCTCCCTTTCCATTCAATCTTTCTAGATTACGAAAATGATAAACTCACTTTTATGAAAATGGTCAATTTAAGGCAAATCCTGTAGACTTCCACAGGTATTGTTTCCCTCCTTCTCCTTCCCATATGTTTCCACAGAGGTTACTGGTTCTTGGAGAAGTAGTGAGCCCACTCACCTCTCAGGACTCCACTGGCCTTCATTCCTCCCTCTCCAAGGTCTCTGCTTTGTCACACTTTCCGCAGATCGGCCCATATTAACACTACAGCTCAGTAAGCACCCTACCCCAACACGACAAAGCCAACCCCAAGAAACACTTACTGGAACAATGCCGAAATTCAAAGCGGATGTGCGCGCCCCTGAATTTGTCCACAGGAATAGGAAGTTTCAGCAGTTCGGACCACCTGGGACTGTTGTTATGATAAAGCACAAAGGAGTGGTACTCACTAGCTGGCGGCTCTCCAGAGCCGAAGGAGATAAAATCCTAACAAAGGAAACAAGCAGGTTAAAGACAGCTTCATTTAGAGATGGTCTGAAAGAGCAGCAGAGCTGCTGCTTTGCTCTGCTTGCCTGCTCCCCAGACAGCACTTCCTCTAGAAGGACCTCCCCGTCCCTGGCAGGGCTGGTTTGCACTTGCTCCCGCCTGCGGCTGCACCTGTTTGATGCCAGACACAGCCCCCAGGGCCTGCTGCCTGAAGGTGGGCCTCCGGGACAAGTGCGAGACGGGCAATTGCGTGCCCAATCTGGAGTCCAACTGTGCGGCCCAGTCCTCAGCCTGCCACTGTCACAAGGCTGCTCTGTGCCTGGCTGCCAAGCTCCGAGACTCACGCAAAAAACACTTTTTGCATAAAGGAACCTGCTAGCACCACCCCAAATCAGTAATGCCCCACTGCTCATAACTCACTTTGATCAAAATGAAAATACACGGGGCTAAAGGTGGTAGTTTTTACCTTATTTGTTTTAACCCAGTCACCAAAGTGTTCATCTCCAAAACTATGACAGATGAAAGGGGGAGAATGGAATGACATTACAAATGCTACGTTTAAGGAAGAGCTGCCACGAGGAAAGTACTGCCACAGTTCATTAAACAATCCAACCGTAAAAGACTTTTGTTTCTCTACCTTCTTTTCTGGAAGGTACTTCAACAATTAAAAAAAGGAAAGAAAACTACACATGGGTGGAGGAGAAAAATAAGATGAATAGGACTGCAAATCAGAAATTAACCGCTCACATGAAGGTGAACCCAAAATGAGGACGTGGGATTGTTTTACCAGAAAATACCCAGTATTCACATACCTTTAAGATCTGGCCACTACTCTCCACAATGAACATGGTAACTTCCACATTTCTGGCCACGCTCTTCCCTCCTTTCTCAAATTCACCCCTTTCTATAGTGATGTATAAATCATTTCTCATTTCACCTAGGAAGATTAAAACCATGTTTATATATATGTGTGTGTGTGTGTGTAAAACTAGGAAGTGTAATAAAGTACTCTATCAAGAAGGATCTTAGTTCATAAACTGTACTGTTATAGCATACACATAAAAGTAAAATATATTATATTTACACTTTTATATAAAGGTCCCCACACTCATTGCCAATATCCAAGAGAAGTAAAGGCCAGCCTCTGCTGGTCTGAATTTGCAATACTGAAAAATGTATAGTTAAGAGGTGAATACGGGGATTGAGTAGGAAGGTGTTGTCAAGTTTCATCATTTTTCAATATTTCCCTCATTTCATTTATGAGGTGTGATTACAAAATGACAGCCGAGCAGGGTGGCTCAAAGAAGCCAGTCTTAATACCTTATAGACACAACACTTAAGAGTAGAAGAAATACCCAAGTGGAATAAAATGACAGGACTGCAAAGGGTAGAGTTACAATTTAAATCTTTTTTTCAAAATTCACGGACAAAATGATCTCACTGCTAGAAGAATCCAGGTTAGTGCTTTATGAACAGATGTAGAATAAATCAGTTACCATCAAGCTATAAAACAAGTAAGATTCAAACTGACATACTCTATGAACACATATACCATTTATTTTTTTCCTCCATTGGTTATTTATAAAACTTACGGCCCCAAGAAAAAGAGAAAGTTGATGCCAATGAGTAAAATAAGGCCAACAGGCTGAAAGCATGCTTTTACTCTCCTATTAGAATTAAATTAAGGGTAAGTGGTGAGTGACGAGGGAAATGAGAAAGAAGTAAACAAACTGTTACCAGAACGTTTTTGAAGATGAATATTGGTGAGGTTGGCAGAGCTGAACTCACTTTTATTTAACATAGCTTTCAAACAGTAGAAGAATTATAAGCAAACTTTTTTCTAAAAAGAAACAACAACAACAACAACAAAAAAAAAACCACCTCTCCACACACACACACACCAAAAAGCAGATCACTAGAAAGAGTGATAACCATACAAATAAGTCCACAATTGGGAGATTTACAAAACTTCCTGACCAAAGTGTGTACAAGAAAGTACCCCAGCTTTTGAAACCATAGGGGAATACCAGTGTGACTGGTCATCTTCCTCCACTAGGATCAACTTTTGATGAGGGCATGACGTGCGAATGACCTGGGCTGACCAGGAAACAGATGGGCCATAAAAGAGACAAAATGAGTAAGTCCCAGAACAGATGAAATCGAAGCCACCCTTTACAAAGAGCATGTAAAAAATACATTGGAAATAATGGATATAATGGTCTCTGGCTTACTCATTTCTAGTACTTTCTTACAAATCAATTTGAAAAGGCAATGAACTTGGAATTCCAAGAGAAAACCAATGTATTTCAACACATTTAAAATTATACCTGTATGCTTTTTGTTTTGTCTGAACCATCTCTCTCTCTTTTTTTTTTAAGAAAACGATCCAGTAAATTTTTGTAAGTTTGCTTGGTTTTACTACTATATGTACTCATTCCTATACATACACACATCCTTAATAGATGTGCATTTTAACAATTCCCTTACAGAATGACGAGTACATTCAAAAACTCTGTCCTCTGAATCAGCCAATTTCAACAAAATCAAAATAGGCCTGGTATGTTGATGGTCCACACACGTGCTATTTCAACAATATGTCTCAGAGGAAATTCTTGACAATAGTTTCCCCACTAACAGATTTGGCAGATAAAAAAGAAACACTCAATCAGGGTAATTTAGAGCAAAAGATATCTGTTAACAATAGCAAAATTCCTTTGCTTCTTGGAGTAGGTGACACATAATGAGTAGCTCTGCTTACAAACAGACTAAAACATACTGATTAAGGGGAAGTACAGCTACAGGGATTTTCACCTTAGGAATTTCTCCTAACGAGTAATTAGCTGGTCCAAACCCCATGGGGATTAATTGTCCTGCAAAAAGAAGAGTGTTTCTTGGGGAGCGGACCTTCACTCTCATCTGTCGGGAGGAATGGCAACTTGGACTTTAACGAAGGCAAGAGGGGATGAGGGAGGTTTGCAAGGTGACCAGTTTTCCCCAGTCTGTAGTCTAGGTCCGAAGGAGGAACTGGGGTGGTGGGGAGAGGAATGTACTGCTGGTACTATGACATTCTTTCTCCGTGTAGTCATTCAGCAAAGATATTTTTAGCACCCACTACATGCTGGGCCTTGTAGACCAGTGAGCAAAGCAAAGCAAAAATCCTTTTCCCACAGAGTTTAGAGTCTAGTAATGGGGGGGGGGGGGTGTCTTTAATAAAGAAGTTAAATATACAGCACGTTGAATAATAATAGGAAATGCTGGGGATAAAAGTCAGACCAAGAAAGGGGCATAGGGAGTGCTGAATGGGGGCAGAGGGGGTGTTATAGGAGAAAAGACCGTACTGAGAAGATGAGAGATCTGAGGAAGCTATGGTATATTCGGACAAAGGAGCAAGGCTGAAAACGGCATTAGTTCCCGAATTAAGCCATAAAGCCTGTTGCACTTATACCACAGCTGGATTCTTCGAACTCTTCTGAATTCAAGAGATTCTGGGTTCAAATAAGCCTAAGGAATATAGGGTCACGGGAAGATTGGAATAAAAGATCTAGACTCCAGTCTTCCTCTCTCTACTATCTGTTGTGTGTGATATCAGTCTAGATAGGTTACTGTAAACCTCTGGGTCTCGAGTTATTAAAATGGGGGCAGAATAAAGACAGAGGTATGGGTAAGACAGGTGGTAGGAGGGATAAGACTACTTTGCTATGTCACGCTGAGTCTGTGACTGTGACTTAGGAAATTCTGTAATATAGAATTCATAAACGAGAGCCCCTGATGCACAAGCTTTCCTTTTCCGGTCTTAAACGGTCACTATCCCTGCAACCCCTTCCTCCTTTGCAAGTCTTTTAGACTCGAGTAAGATGTCTTTGAAAAGAGAACACATGACAAGGAGAATATTTCTGCTGGATGACATTCTTCATATGTCTCCCCAGGAATTCCGCAGCTTGCTATGTTCCAATACTGCAAGGTACCACATCTTGCCAAAATAGGCAGCAGGATAAAGTTGAAACATGTGCTAATTAAAATCAATACACTTGAGGTCAGCTCTGGAGAAAACTAATAAGCCCAAACGGTGTTAAGAAAGCATCTTGGGTAATTAAGAGAGAAACCATAAAGTGAGTATGAAATGGAGTCATAGCACTAGTGTGAAAAGCTATTTTCCTGACAATGTTTATTAACACCTTGCACCTCTCTCTCATATTTAATACTCTGTAAATTTGATGTGCATAACACTTTTCTTCTGTTTAGGAGGCCCACTGCCTTTGCACATGTGAAGGCTTCTGAAAATATCACTGTAGACAGAAAAAATATAAGGTCACAACAATGGGAACAAAGTCAAAAGAGTTCAGCGATTGCAGTCAAATGGGGTCAATTTATGGCTTGACCTCCAGAGCCAAGAGGTTTCCATCAGTAGCTGAAAACCTTGATCTTTGATTCTGTGCTATGAACTCCTTGCATAAAGCCGCAGAGTGCAAGCTCACCACATCAAGTAAACCACTGCACTCAGCTACGGGCTGACCAAGTGCCTTAATCTGTGCTGGATGTTTGTTAAGATTTATGGAACTGGAAAAGAAAAGCTCCTGTCCTGTAGTTATAAACAAATCAACACGTGTCTAAGACTAACAACTTAGATTACACTAATGATGATGACAGTAGTAGTGGACAGATGGTAGTTAGGTCTCTTCCAGGCGCTACAAAGAGAACAGTTCATTAAGTCCTCACAATGACATTCTAAGAAGGCCCTATTATTTCCATTTTATAGATTAAAAAAAAAGATATGTAGAGATTAAGAAATGTGTCTAACATATTAATTTTTTTAGTATGAAAATAAAATCATTTTTTAGTATGAAAATTATTTTTTTAGTATGAAAAATGGAATTCAACAGGGTGAGAATGGACATTGAATAAGCTAGTGCAATTCAGCTTTCTTCACCTTGAGCAAGGAAGGTATGACTCCTACTCTATCCTGCAATGGTCAGACCAGGCTTGAAGCACCGATTTCAGTTCTAGAGACTATTCTTACAGGACTGGCACAGACATGAACAGTATCCTCCAGGCCGTAAATAATACAGAGCAAGGACTCAGAACCCATCGGAGGAGGGACGAGGGTCCCAAGAGAGTTAAGTGAATTTAAACATGTTGAGGTTTCAAGCAGAAAAACTCAATGCAATGGGTAGAAGGTAGAGAGAACCTGGTCCAACATGACAGAGGTCATTCTGAAGTATGATGTGTTCTTGGTCATTATTAATATTCAAGTAACATGCCAGAAAACCATTACCAGGAACCTGAGGAAGAAACTCATGCACTGGACACACAGCTGGGCTGCATGACCCTTCATGTGTGTGGCAGCCAGGATAATGACACCACCTGCACTCCCACAAGATGTCCATGTCCTAATCCTGGGAACCTGTGAATATGTGACCTTACATGGCAAAAGGGACTTTGTAGCTGTGATTAATTAAGTTAAGGACCTTGAGATGGGAAGATTTGCGTGGATTATCAGCATAGGTTCAATATAATTACAAGGGTCCTTATAGCAGGGAGAGGGAGAGGGAAGCAGGAGGGCCAGAGTCAGAGAAGGGGATGTGATGAGGGAAGAAGACACTGGAATGATGTGAGGCCATGAGCCAAGGAGTGTGGGCAGTCTCCAGAAGCTGGATGAGGCAAGGAACTCAATTCTCTCTTAGAGTCATCAGAAAAAATGCAGCCCTGATGACAGGGCTTGCTTTTAGCCTAGTAATACCTCTACAAATTTCTGATCTCCAGAACTGGAAGATAATATTTTTTGTGGTGTTTTAAGCCACTCTGTCTGTAGTGATCTGTAACAGCAGCCATAAGAAACCACACAATGTGCCATCCATATTCAAGATTTCATCACTTCATGAAAACCTCATGGGTGGGGGGAGGGACAGGGACAAGATCGCAGGTAACTGGAAATCAAAGCAGAACACAGAAAGGGGAAATTTATGCATGGGTTGAGAATTCAACTTCAGATTTCTTGCACAGAGTGCACTTCTGTGAAATCTATTAATTCTTTTGTATTTTTTTGTGTCATTCTTATTTTTGTCTTGCTTTATTTTAGGAGAGTATTATGAGATATTGAACTTTTTGGGGGTGTAGTTTTTACTTTTTTGCTTATGCCTATTAAGCAAACAATGGTAAATGCCACAATAGCATCCATGACAGGCTTGCCAGAACAGTGTTGTGTAAAGATAGGAGTAGGGATGGGCGGGGGCTCCCTGATGTCCATCACATTCTAGGACAAAGTACGGTCTTCTGGTAGGGCCAGCTGGGGAAAGTCCTACCCCTTGTGTAATGGGGCCTGTAAGCTTCAATATTTTGAAGGAACCAGCCCCCCCCTGCTTTATGGTTTGAGGCTGGAATCCCATTTCAGCATAACATGGGAGAGCCTTAGTCCTCACCTCTCTTGGATCACTGCGGTATTCACTGGTTGGAAGACCATGTCTCCCTTCCCTAGCATGATCATGGGGTTCAGGCTAAGTGGTTGCACATACATGGCATGGAGGCCCGGTGACATACACTGAGAGGTGGTGGGGTTTGGTTAGATTTAGGATGTATCTTAAGGAAGATCAAATCATATCACACTGGCTCCCACCTGCTTTCGCCAAAAGAAATCTCAGGTAATCCCATCTGCTGATATGTATGTCTCTGTCAGTGACTGGTAAAGAATAATAATATTTATATTTAAAAGAACAAAACTGCCTATCTTCTTAAACACGAGACAAACATATGTACATTTTTCTTACCCCAGCCAGTAAATCATTATCTAGTCATCTTTGACCAAAGAGAAATTTGACTTATGTGAACTATCACCTAACAGTCAAAGAAGAAGGCGGCTTATTGAAGATGCTTGAAAAATAAACTTAAATAAATCCTGAGATCACTGTCAAAGCTACTTCCAAGGGCAGCCATTTGAAACACAGGCTCTGCTAATTGTTTTCAGTGTGAGCCTCTCCCCTCCAAATCTCAACCTCTCCTTCTTCCAACACTGTACAACTTTTACTTAATTCCTTTTAGGTTAGGAACTTCATAGACCTCGTATGAAAGACTGACTATACCAGAAGGTATTAATTAGGGGTTCCCTAACAAAGAGTGACAGTTTAACCACTTGGTACATGGGAACAAGTCTCCAAGGGAAGAGGGCACAAATGGGGAAGAGAAAGTAGGGAGGCCATGATTAAAGCAAAGGTCATTTTGCCTAAAAAGAACCATAAACTCGGAATAAGAATGGACCTTCGGGGTGGGGAAGGGCTCCGTCTGACCTCTCTTGACATTCCTGACACATTAGTCAGCTTTGCTCAAAAATGTCTGCTGGATGGAAACTTCGTGCTTCCCGATATTCAGCAATGGCCCAGGTCCTGCTCTGTACAGTCTGCTAAGACATTTAGAGGCAGCCTGTCCAATACTGTAACCGCTGCCATGTGTGGCAACTGAGTACTTGAAATGTGACTTGGCTAGAAAGAGATGTGCTGTAAATGTACAACCCTCACCAGCATTCAGGGATGGAGGGTAAAAAAGAGACAGTGTAAAATAACTCATTAAGAATTTTTTTTTGCAGGAATTACCTATTAGAAATGATAATATTTTGGATGCAGTGGGTTAAGTAAAATGTATTATTAACATTAATCCCAACTCCTTCTCTCCACTTTTTTGAAAGCGGCTACTAGCAAAGTTAAAATTACATTTGTGGCTCTCATTACATTTCTTCTGCAGAGCATGGATTGAAATGTTTTTGCTGCGCTCCCCGTCATGGGCTCAGAGAGCGGATCATGGAACTTTTGGCAGAGTTATTCGGTTTGTAGGTAGCAGTGATGGAGCTTCAAAGGAAGTGACTTAGCCTCTTTGAAAATTACACACCCTGAGAAACAAAGTGCTGGGTGACTGACCCTTAACAACAGGGAAGGGTCATGGTAGCTCGAAAGCGCACAGCCGGATCACCTCCTCACACTAGGTGACATCTTAGACATGTGCCCCTGCCACCGCCAGACCAAGGGGAGAGTTCCTGTTCCTGTGCCGCTCCCCATTGTGTAAAGAGTCTGGCACTGAGCACAATCTATGGGCCTCGACGGGAGTTTTGTGTACGCTCGCGTCAGTGTCAAGACCACAGACTCCTCCTTCTGCAGAGAGGCAGCAGCTATGTTGAGGAACCTGTCCTGCTGGTCTGAGCGCGGCCTCACCTGTCCTGACCCCCATCAGCACACAAATCAACTCTGAAGGATGAGTCTAGAAAGCGAGAAAATAGAGAGTCATGCCAGCAGACTGTCACTGCAACCCCGGCACGGCAGCGGAAATGTCCCCACCCATTTTCTCATTGGAGAATTCAGCTCAAGTGCTCATGAGAGGGCCACCCTGAGAATCGACTGACAAGTCAACATTCTGAAAAAGACCAAGGGAAAGCCAGCGCCATGTCTGCCCACGTAAAACAATCCCAGGGAGGTTCGAGGCTGCTTTCCGCTGTGGATATAAACACACACGTCTTTCCCCTCTTTGTCTAACTTGGAAGATTAAGACGCTGCAGGAGAAAAAGGAGGGGAGAAAAAGGAGGGAAGAAAAAGCAGCAAGTGCTTTGAAATGATGTGTTGGCGTGCCCAGCACTGCAGACCTGGGCCTGCAGGCCGCGGGCCGGGCAGCGCGACCATGGCGGCCATCACGGGGCGCAAGGAGCCCCCTTCCACACAGAGCTCATTCCGTCATGAAAGCCAGACAAACGCGGCCTGAGAGCGGGACATCCCAGACAATTATTCAGCTGGTGAAGTGTCATGTTGCTTTATGTTTTTCCACTTCTCGGTGATACTGCCCAGAGACCAAGCTGAGGAATTCTTCCAGCAGCTGTCTGCATTCTGTTCGAAAATATGTTTTTTATACTAGATTTGCCCATCAATTTGCTTCCCAGTGGCATGAAGGTTTTTCTTTTTTTGTTACAAAGGAAATACCAGTTATTTATAGCAACTGAAGGAAATAATGAAGGGGGTGCGAGAGCCACCGAGTAACAGGCCACCAAGTAAACAGTTCTATAAACAGTCATTTTCAAAGACAGTGGCATGAAATGCTCAGGCAGGGCAGGTCCCTAAGCCAGGTCAGGTCATCTCAGGAAATTTCCAGGCTCTCTCTCTCTCAGCCTTCCTTGCATAAACAGATTTGCATAAAGAGATCACGGGATGCTGTAACAGGGCGATGCTGGTCACTTGCTGCATCACATTAGGTCTCTGTCCAGAGCAGTCTTACCATTCCTCTCACAGCTGTGCCAGAGGCCTTGTCAGATGCAACTTCCCGTGCCTGCTTTCATACGTGGGCCTTAAACGGAGATTTACACAATCTCGTTTCTAAAAATACTGTTAACAATTTGAGGGTATTTCATTTGGTCTCCTTTTTGTCTTGGTTGTAGAAGGTGGGATGTGGGGCACTGAGAAACTACTACTATGTGGCATTTACTTCAATAGTGTGACTCTCACTAACTGCCACCTTCTCCACTTAGAAACAGACACTTGTTTTCGAGTCCTTTTAGGTTGCTAAAAGAGATCTGGATAGATCTCAAACAGAACTAGGAAAGGTGCAGAAATACATATGGTATTTGCATATGGTTGCTTATTTACATATACATATTCTGGGTAGAAGAATCCTCCAAGAAGGGCCAACTGCTGTTCAATAATTACTCTTATCAAAACCTATAAGGATTTCCCCTAAGAGTCTTTGCTAACATTTTCCACCAAAGTGTAAAATATTTTCTGGATCCTACCCCAGTTCTCCATCTCCATCATATCATGGTCATACAGAATTCAGCACAGCCCTATAAGTTACTCGCCCTAATAAAAATGTAAAGATTTAAAAAAAAAAAACCTTTTGCTTATTTATTATCACATACCTCATTATCTTCTTTAGCAATGGTCCATTTGAACTCTTCAAAACTGACCATTTGAAAAATTTCTCAAGTGTCAAAAACAAACCTAATACCCATATGTCAACCTTTGGTCCATCCCACATCACTTACCAGGCATAATAATATTAGAAAAACCCAACTTCCTCGTTATAGACACTCCATGAGAAAATACTGATGAGTATTCTCTTCTGATTTGCTCAATGTCTCCATGTAATAGCTGTAGGGAAACCGCTAAACCTAAAATAAATGAGAGATACCAGAGTAAAAAATAGGAGGACAGAAATAGCATGAATGGAAATCTGAACTTGTTTCAACAAGTCCACAACTATAATAGCATTGTTGTAAACGAAAGGTTACTATTCAGGCAAAATCAAAAGAATCTATAGAAATAATTTCTAGAGAACACTTTTCCAACATAAATATCTGAGTTTGGCTGTGTTTAAGGAGGTTCATAGTGACTGGAAAAAACTTGAGCAGGATACTAAGAAGAGGAAGTCTGGTTTCTAGCCCCTATACCCTCTTCTCCAGGCCCCTGCCAGACGGAAATATCCCTGCTGCAAGGACGCTCACGCCAGCAACTGTCAGTGGCTATCTGGCCCTAGAAGACACTGATCTCAAAGGATGAGTTCTGATTTCCTTTAACTCCATAAAACCTATGAATAGTTACTAAATAAATATAAATATCTATGATATAATAAGTAACATAAAAGGATACACAAATATAAAGTCATCATAATTCAAAGATTTTTAAGGATATTCATAGAGATTTTCTTAAAATTTAAGGAACAGGGATGCCTGGGTGGGTTAAGTATCTACTCTTGGTTTTGATTGTGATCTCAGGGTCATGATATCAAACTCCTATAGGGCTCTGTGATTGGCAAGGAGTCTGCTTGGGATTCTCTTGCTCACGCACACACACACACACACACACACACTCTCTCTCTCTCTCTCAAATCAATCAACCTTTAAAAACTCACGTAACAGAGGTGCTTATAACAAAACCAAGACTATATTATGTGCATTAGAAACTCATAGTGGCATTATTTTCTACTGAGAATTTAGCAGGATACAGGCTACTCTGACAAATAAAAGAATATTTAGTCAGGAAAGTAGTAAAACTGTCTTTCTTTTAACTGCAATTACAATGACATTACTACAGTAGGATACATAAAAGATGAATGAGATACATTTTTCTTATCTTTTTTTCCCCCAACTCTCAGTTCTTCTGTAGGCAAGAGCTACAGAAAGGAAATTAATGCCAGCCTTGTGACTATGTTTGTATGTTTCTGAGATGTTACTTCTTTCTGCTTTTTTTAAAAAATATATTTATTTATTTACTTATGATAGACATAGAGAGAGAGAGGCAGAGACACAGGAGGAGGGAGAAGCAGGCTCCATGCCAGGAGCCCGACGTGGGACTCGATCCTGTTACTCCAGGATCGCGCCCTAGGCCAAAGGCAGGCGCCAAACCGCTGAGCCACCCAGGGATCCCCTTTTTTCTGCTTTTTAATTCCTTCTTGGTTTTCTTCTATTATCTTTAACAAGAAAGACCAAAAAAAAAAAAAAAAAAAGGAAAGAAAAACAGCAAAAAAGCCCCTTAGTGATAGAAAATGAACCCAATCAAAGGGGGCTGATTTTTAAAGCTTCCAGTCATCATTGAACTGAACTCAATTTTTTTCCTGTTTATTTTATTATTTGTTTTTAATTTTAGGTAGTTGCAACAGTGCACTATTGATTTCTGTAGAATTCAGTGATTCATCACTTACGTACAACACGCAGTGCTTATCACAAGTGCCCTCCTTGATACCCATCACCCATCTAGCCCATCCCCAGCCCACTTTCCTCCATCAGCCCTCAGTTTGTTCTCTATCATTAAGAATCTCTTATGGCTTGTCTCCTTCTCTCCTTTTTTCTCCCCTCCCCCATATGTTCATCTGTTTTCTTTCTTAAACTCCACGAGTGAGATTATATGGTATTTGTCTTTTTTTGACTTATTTCACTTAGCATAATGTAATCTAGCTCCATCCATGTCATTGCAAATGGCAAGATTTCATTCTCTGGTGGCTGAGGAGTCAATGTTGTATATATACATATATTGTGTATATACACTATATATCTCACATCTTCTTTTTTTTTTCAAAGATTTTATTTATTTATTCATGAGAATACACAGAGAGGAGAGAGAGAAGCAGAGACACAGGCAGAGGGAAAAGCAGGCTCCATGCAGGGAGCCTGATGTGGGACTTAATCCCGGGTCTCCAGGATCACACCCTGGGCTGCAGGTGGCGCTAAACTGCTGAGCCACCTGGGCTGCCCTATCTCACATCATCTTGTCCATTCATCAGTCAATGGACATTTGGGCTCTCTCCACAGTTTGGGTATTACTGATAATGCTGCTACAAACACTGGAAAGCATGCATCCCTTCAAATCTGTATTTCTGTATCCTTTGGGTAAGCACCCAGTATGAACTCAATTTTAAAATGCACTTGGATGTTAGAGTTAAGAGGATGATAAATCTGTACTCCAAAGACTATCTATATCATTACTTACCATGTGCAAGTTATCATTCCCCTTTCATAACTTACAGTACTACAATGCAATATCAAACATGAACCATAAGAATGACAACAATCACACTGGGATAAAAAAGAAATGCAAAGCTTATTTAGCACACATCTACATTAGGATCTTCCTTTTGTTCTCCCTCAGCAGTATGAACAGACAAAAACAAAAACAGTGCCTTGTTTGTTGGTTTTACTTGGTTTTCAATTAAGTGGTAAAAACATCAGGAAAATTTGTTTAAAAAGAAGCATTTGGTTCAGAGAGAAGACGGAGCCATTTCTGGGGTTCAAGTCTGACCTAGATGGGGCATACCTAAGGGGCGAAGCCAAAAAAAAAGACAGGTAGGACAGGACTGCATCATTATGTCCTCACACCTTCTAGTGTGTGGGCCTAATAGGATGTGTCAGGAAGCTGTTGTTAGAATAAGGTTGAATCTGGCAGGTATTCAGAACTTTAATTAAATGCTCATTCCATTTTACTTACCTATCTTTTATCTCCCCCCCTGCCCCCACTCCATTTGAGTTGGGTGACTGAAGGCAACAAAATGGAGGCACTTCTGTCCCTGAGACCCACGGGGAATGAAGGAGGGGAGTATAAGTGGTCTGGATGGTTTGACAGCAAAACAGTCAGTATAGCTTTGGGATACTTTTATGTGGTGTGATTGGTTCCTTTTAAAACCCAGAGGCAGTGGATGAAGACAAAGTGTAGCATGTGTTATAATCCATCTGTCCCAGCAGCTATTTCTTCCTGACTCACACTCTCCCACTATCCCTACCTCATTACTGGTGTTTCTGTTCTCTTCCCACTTCTGTCCTTTTGCCTTCAAAATACTCACCCACACCATCACCATCATCATTAACATCATCAGGAGCTGGTATCTGTAGAATAGCAGTGTGTGCCAGACATGGTACATAAGAACAGTCCCTCCTGCTGGGAAGAACACTATCCAAATCTGGGGGTCCAGAAACAATGCTTTCAAATAGAGAATCAGATGGATTTAACAAAATCCTTGGGGTCCTACAATTTTTTTTTCCTTTTTACAAGTGAAGGTCAATTCACTAGGACTTCTCATCAAAGGATCTGATCAGACACTGGCGACATTATGTGCCATGTGTAAAGTAGGAAAAAAACCGAACAGTAGTGAAAAGCAAAGACATCATGCTATTCAGGGTAGGGGCTGGAAGAAGGAAAAGTGACTAGAATTCTGGTTTTGCCCTATTGGAGCCAGAATTCATTTTAATCATCAGTGATTTTCTTTTTTTTAATGTAAACTGAATACCTAACAGAGGATAAGACAATGAAAAAAGAAAAGCATTCAGTCAGAGACGAAGCTTAAGAAAATCCAAGAGAGACAAATACTACATGTTACGGAAGGATATAGACGTAAACAAGAAAGAAAAATACATCAATGTACTCTAAACAGTAAATGCCATAGAGATTAGAGAATGCAAAAGGATAGAGAGGATTCAATTAGGGAGTAACAGGGAAGAGCCAGCTAGTAGATAAGTGAAGGGAATGAAGAAGTGACAGGGGTAAATCAGACAAATACTATGGCTGGGTTGGGGGGAAGGAAAATACTGTATTTAGGAGTTGAATGCATCTTAAAATTTGGTTAGACAGTTCAGCAGTTTTCATTTTAGAGGTTTAGAAGATGCAGATTTAAGCCCTGGGTGTAATGATTTCATTTGTCTTGCAAAGTGACACCAATCTGGAGGAGAGGGGAAGGTACTGCAATTTAGAGGTGATCCAATTTCTTCAAAATAAAGAGCTCACAGAGTCAAGAATTGGAAAGGCCAACAGAACTGAGGACTTCACCACAACTTACTTGGCTTCTCCTAAATCATTGACTCAGTTTTCATTTAAAAAAAAAAAATTAAAAACAAAAAACCCCACAAGACTCAACATGCAACACTCAAGAGTGGGTGTACTTTCAATAAAACAAAGAAAGAACATGATATAATGTGAGTCCACAGGCACTCACCAGCAAGGAGCCATTGCAATACTACTTATTTTTCAATCAAGGAAACTCCTGATCCTACTTTCACGGTGTCCCTTAATTACCATGACAAAAATCAACAGGGTGGGTAAAAGAGTCATCAGAAAAACAAGAAATAATGTATTAAGATGAGGAAACTACTCATCATCACAAAGGAGAGACTCATCAAATACTCATTTCAATTATCCAAGGATTAGCCCTATCCTTTCAGGAATGGTCATTTATGCGTCATAAATTTTGTTTGTTCACAGAGCAGTATTTTTATTTCTATTCTATTCCTTGTCAGTCCTTACCGTAACTTCTATCTCTGGGGCCGGGACTTCTAAAATGTTATGTGCTGTACACCTTAAATGAATGTAACACTATATTCCAACTATACTCAAATAAAAAGTTTTTAATTAAATTTTAAGAAATAGAATTTTATTTGTACACTAGTTTAGTTCTGCTGCAATTCACACTGCCCATTTTGGGTGTGGCAGTAACTCAGCTTGAGAGGAAGGTGAAAGGTGGGCTATAAGGATATTTTTGATAAGGTTCCTACTCCAAAGGAACTGATATTCTAATACTGTGAATACAAGACACAGCCACATAAATAAATGTAAAGCAGAATGGGTTACATGTATGATAAGGATATTGAAATAAAAAAATTACTGACTGAGGAAATTTTAAAGTTCAGGG